CCCCAAAACCCCAAAACCCCAAAACCCCAATTTATTATAATGATGTTGATTTAAATCTGTTCATATTTTGAATACAAAAACCTTGATATCACAACCACATATCACAAGAAAACAGGCCTACACAGCCTATCTCTCCCAGTGCAAGCCTGCATCACCCAAAACCTGGCTAATCCTTTATCCTCCAGTCCTACCCCTATAAACCTCTGCTAAATCTTTATTATGTTTCTTCTTCTGCTTCTTCAGCTGGGTCTTTCTCCCAATTCCCCTTAACCTCATCTTCTTATTATAAAGTGTAAGCCTATTTGGCAAGCGATTGGGTAATCCGGAGGTCGATCTTCTCCGAAGTATCTGAAACAGTATCAACGTAATCATCGCATGTGTAATGTTTCCTAATTGGGACTCATGAGCTACCAAATTTAGAACCGACTAGGCCAGGTTTCTGTACAACCTACTGGTAATCAGGAGCTTACATTAGACTGGCAAGGGGCCTTTTTAGGGCTTGAAGGGGTTTGGGCTAAGCTAAATTGAGCTAGGAAGGGAATTTGAGGAATTCTGAAGGGGGTTTTGAGGGTCTTTTTGAATTTTTATCAGGACTGAACGCTTATTTTGGTATCAGAGTGTTGAGAGAGGGGGATAGGAAGGGTTCTAGAGGGGTAAGGAAGGGTTTTACGCGAATTTTGAGGGTTTAGAGAGGGAGGTTTAGGAAGGGGTTTTGGGAGGTTTTGGGGTAATGAGGGGTTTTGAGGTTGAATTTTAGGGTTTGAGATTGTTTGAGGGGGTTTTGTGATTTTTGACATTTTTAAACATTTTTTCACTTTGGAAGGGAATGTAGGCATCTATTTAAATTTAGAGATTAACATACTCTTGGAATGTTTATTTGATAATTCACAGATTTAGTTCTTTGTATCAACTTCTGAACTCCATTTGTAACTGTAAACTCAGGCTCTCCTTCTACTCTCACATAAATACAATTATTTCCTTTGCTTTATATTATGGTCTTGAGATTTGGATGGCTAAACTTTTAGAACTAAGACAATACTCTTATGGAAGCATTATGCGATTGAATTAACTTGTTATCATCACAAGAACTATCCCAGATTTGGCTGCTATTTCCTCATAGTCTGGTACGAATCCTTCTGCTTCATGTTTAAATATGGTAAGTCCTTCTGAGCATGCCCTAAAGTAATTCTTTACAACTTCTGGAGTTGGGCTATTTCCAATAATAGCTTTACTAGCTACTGTGAAGAAGATATCAAACAAGGTAATTCAACTTACTGCTATAAAATCTCTTCCGAATCTCAGTATGATTCTTAAATGCACTGCTAGAATTGAATTTTAAGGAATTGGTATACTAAAAATCTCTGCAGAATTTAAAATTTGAAAGCTAATAATCACTCTAAGCTAGTCCTTAACAAACATAGAAGTAAGCCCTAGTTCTTGGTATCGGACGTTCCCATAACTTCAGGGTCAAGGACCTGCTGATGGTTCCTCAAATCCGGCAAGACTAGCTTCACCACCTCGATGTTGGTGATTTGACCAATTTTAAAACATAAATTTAGGAAGAAATGATCTGAATTTACCTAGAAGGGAGATTCCACAGGTTCCTTTTGCTCTATAATTGTTATAAGCTAAGTACTCATTCTGTAGTAGATATGATATTGTCATAGCTGCCTGAAAGTAGAGAATTAGGGTTCCCAAGAGCTGATATCCTTTTCGAAGAGTCAGCTTTTATAGAACTTGTGCCTTCAAAAAGATTCTGGTGACTTTCCTGATGAAGTAAGGGCAAATTTCCCGAAGTCATATTTTGATGCTATAAAGTCTTTTCAGAAAGGTACTCTTTCACGTAGCTTCATAGGCTTATTGGTCAGGTATCTGCTCATCTTCTTCATAGGGATCTCTGGTCTAGAATGCGTCAAAATCTGCTCCAAAATAACTGAACACATAGCTTAAGATTTTGAAAGCCCTTACTTGGAAAATAGGGAGAATTCCTGACTTTGGTGGTAGTCTTGGGAAAGGTCAACACTGCTAAGGAACTCACGCATGTTCATCATGTTCTTCCTCTGAGCTTTATTTTTGGGTCGAGCTTTGATGACTAATCTTTGAAATTGTCTTCCTCTCCTTTTTATTATTTCTGAAGGTTAAATTCTTAGTTACATTCAGACACTTTTAATTGGCCCCGATTCTATTTGGAGGTTACATTTGAGGATCGCACTCCTCCTCAGGGCTAAGTCTCTAGGCTCTAGAATTGGGATAGGACTGGTAGGGTTTGATGGCTTACCTCTTCATACTTCGTTCCTGCTATTTCTCGTTGCAAAGCTCATAATATTTTAATCTTTCTGTAAAAATTTATATTTTAGGGGTTTTGGGGTTTTGGGGTTTTGGGGTTTTGGGG